GGAGTCTTTCCCATTTGCTGCAGGTCGGAAAAAGAAAAAAACTCAGGTAGCCTAGCCTGAACTGCATGCCTAATTAATAAACTTACCAGTGCAGCTCAGGCAGAGTGTGTGTGTGCACACTTGTGTGCATGAAGTGCTCTGGTTAACACAGCTTGGGTTGGCTGTCCATCCCCACACTCAGGATGGGAGAGCTTGACTGCTAAGAAACGCTGTGGTTGGAGGGGATGAAGACGACTTTCCTAAAGGAAGCAGGTGACACCTACAGAGGAAGGAAAAGAAAGGTGCCAGGCAGTTTACAAGATGTCTACCCCTGCATTGTTCCATTTACCAATATCCTTAAGTATACAGCAATGGAACGAAATCGCTCTGCGGCAGACTACTTTCTCCTGCTTTTGTTAGACTGGCTTTCAGGAAGCGTTCTGCATCTGTCACATAAACCCTGACAGATATTGATAAACACCAGGCATTTTCGCTTTAGTTCATGTTAGACCTGGAAAAGAGAGCCTCTCTGCTTGCCGAATGAGAGCCAGCATGCCATCCCCAGCCAGTTCTTCCTCTGCCACGTTAGCTTTTCTTTCTCCCCTGGCGGACTCTAGGCTCCTTGGGGATAAGACTCACGCCTTATTTCTAGTTGTCTTTCCAGCACATGGCATGGAACCTGGCACATAGCTGATGCTCAAGGAGTGTTTATTAAGGAAATTAATGAGTAAGTGACTAGGCCAGCAGCAAAATGGATGGATTCACAAGTATTGTGTTGTTATGCTCTCTGGGGTCATGTCCTAGGGCTGGCCATGTTGCCAACTGATGCCATCAGTGGGAAACTAATCAAGCATTAAGGAGTAGGCCTGGCATGACCGCGTGGACCTTGCACATGAGTTCGAATGCATATTCATATGAGCCTACATGCATGATTAACTTGGGAAGCTGACAGGAAGCAGTCAATCTGTTGAGCAAGTTTGGGTTTTATAAACCAGATGTTCAGTATTATTATTCATCATTTCCTTTGATACCCGAACGGTCCCCATTATGTAGCATGGGAAATGAAGGATATGGAATAATATACACTTATTATACAACAGAGCACCACAGCCACAGATTTCGGAGGCCTGCTCAAAGCCTGGGCAAGTGTAAGTGCACAGCAGTTCATTTTGAGATTCCCGTTTGGACTTGAGTTAATGGGATTTTGCCCAGATGGACCATGGTGACCCCCATCTCCTGCTCCTATCCCTTGGAAAATGAATGTTGACTCTACATCTGCGTTTTTCTTGGAAGCCAGATGTATGAATCATAAGCAGTGCTCTTGCCTCAGTAGCAGCTACAGGTTGGGGGGCCACTGAAAAGCAGGGACCCCCTAGTGTGTTGGGAGACAGAGGGTTTCTGGCCCTGGTTGGCTGCATAACTTCTGCTTGGTGGTCTGGGAAAAAGAAAAAAACTTGCCATTGACTGCTATTTCCTATGGCAAGAGTATAGAATGCCTTTCAATCATAAAGTGCTTACAGTATAAATGAACTTGCAAATTGATGTGTTTCTCCAGGAAATGTTTAAGATTCACAGAGTCCAGACCTGTGGGGACTGGGAATGATGGAGCTGGTGGGTGCAGAAGAGAGTCTTAATTTTCTGCAAATGGTATTTCCGTGTTCCTGCCAGCCCTTGTTGCCATGATGATGAAGTGGTATATATAGGAAAGCCTACGGGTGAGGGTTCTGGCCAAGCCAATTCAAATTGGGGCCAGAACTACCCCTAGGAGAGGTCCATGAGATCATTGGCCCATATGTGAACTGTTGCCAGACTGAACTCACTGCATTTCCTTTGTTTACCTGGGGCTGGTTACAAATGAATGGTTTCAGTACAAATGCAATATTATGGGTTTCTTATTTAAAGTAATGATGCAGTAATTACATTTGGAATTAGCTCCTGAGTGAAGTTGATACTATATTCTGGATTAATATTTTGAAGTTAGTTTCTCATAATCTTGTCTTTGTGCCAGGACAATTACTAGTGATTTATAACTGATTTTTACTGGTTGGAGGAAAAAGGCTTCATTTCTCATTATTGTCAATGATATGTTTTGATTTCATCCATGATACATGTTGGCACTGCTTGAAATTTGATTTGAGTTGCAAAGTGGAAGTTGTCCAGGGTTATGGATCAGCTCAAATCAGTTTTCTTTATAGCATTAACAATTAATCAAGGAGTCAGAATATGGGAAGACTTCTAATTCTAAGAGAACTATTTACCGTGGGCTGGTTCTGCCTTTGAAAATGTCCTTGCAGGTTTCCAGTGGTGGCCATAGTATGCTTTGAGTATTTTAAGCAAGATGTTAGAACCATGTTCCCCAAAACTGTTATAGACTGTATATATTGGTTGACTTGGTTCATGGCAACACTAACAGTCAGCATCACCTCATAGTTAATATTTTTTGGTTGTTATATTGATGAATTAAATTTTGTTTACATATTCTTACACCCAAATTAGGATGCCCAAAATAATCACTTACATGATTAGCATGTATATTATTAGTCATGGTTCTCTAGAGATATCCTATAGAGCTAGAGATAGGCTATACAGATAAGGTGGGGAAGAATTTAGTTTAAGGAATTGGGTTACACAATTGTGGGGCTGGCAAGTCTGAAATCTGTAAGGCAGGCAGGCTGGCATGCTGGAAATTCCAACAAAAGTTTATGTTGCACTCTTGAGTTTGAAGGTGGTCTACAGGGAGAATTCCTTCTTTTGAGGGGGGCCTTGTCTTTTATTTTAAGGCCATCAATGGATTGAATGAGACCCACCCACATTATGGAGGATAATCTTCTTTACTCAAAGTCTACTGATTAAAATGTTAGTCACATCTAAAAAAACACCTTCCTAGCAACATCTGGACTGATAGTTGCTCAAACCACTGAGCACGATGGCCTTGCCAAGCTGACACATACAATTAACCATGTCACCATGAGTTCCCAGTCCTAGATAGACCAGGAGAGTCTTGCTTCGTTTTACTTGTCATGGAGGAATATAGGCCTATCTTGATATCAATGTAAAACTAATAAAAATATGGCCCCCTCCACCCCTGTTGGGATATTTTTTCCAACACCTGCCAGCTTCTCTTAGCTGTCATGATTATTGATGGAAATGAAGTGGAAAGGATTGCCCTATACCAATGCTTCTTGCATTTTAATATACATACGAATCATTAAAATAATTATGCACATTCAGAGTGTTTGGTATGGGGCCTGAGACTATTTCTAACAAGCATTTAGGTGCTACAGGTGCTGCCGTCCTGGGTACTGCATTGTAAGTAGTGACATCCCACAGCTCTCATAATCTATTAGAAGAACAAGGCAAAAGAAAGACTAAGTTTAATGACCTTTACTCAAGTGACCAGCCAGTCAATGGGGGCTTCAGATGCTTAGATTTTAGGATCTTCTCTTTATAATGCCTCTTCCCAAGGAGATTGAGG